AAAAAAAAAAAAAAAGAAGACTTAATGGTAGCGAGAGCTGAAGGAATGGGGAGCAGGCATTGTCCTGGGGAATCACATCGAAAAGACGTACTAGCACTCTTTAGAAAAGCTGGCAGGGGGCTACTCTGACCTGTTCTCTGCCTTCTGGACTGGCCACCATCACCACTGCTCTGCTGAGCAACCTGGGGCATCACAGCAGGGAGGAGGCAGTTGAGAGGGGGAAAGTAAGAAGCCAATTCCATCTCTAGGCTGCAGTGGGGCCAACCTGCAGACAGGACAGTTGCAGAGACAGATTGTAGCAACACTGACAATATAAAACCCTGAGAGACTTGGCTTAGGTTTTGCTAGAAATTAAAGATGAAACTGAAATATCCCCTGGAGTAATCACCTTAAGTTGGATGTGTGAGATGCTTTTGAAAATTTATCATTTCTGTTTCCAAAAGGAAGCAGGCCCTCTTCAATCATTGACTCCATCATAATAGGAATGTGTATATTTGCCATTTTTTAAATCCAATAACAGGGGATGGGGCGCCTGGGTGGCTCAGTTGTTAAGCGTCTGCCTTCAGCTCAGGTCATGATCCCAGGGTCCTGGGTTCGAGCCCCTCATCGGGCTCCCTGCTCAGTGGGAAGCCTGCTTCTCCCTCTCCCACTCCCCCTGCTTGTATTCCCTCTCTTGCTGTGTCTCTCTCTGTCATAAATAAATAAAATCTTTAAAAAAAAAAAAATCCAGTAACAGGAGAAAAGTCCTTTTACAGACTGGAAGGGAAGACCTTTATAGATACGTTTCCGTTTTTATGTCATGTTGCTATGGGCTGAATTGCGTTCCCCGAAATTCAGACATTGAAGCTCTACTCTCCAACGTGATGGTGTTTGCAGATGAGGCCTCTGGGGGGGTATTTAGGTTTAGATGAAGTCATGAGGGTGGGACCCTCAGGACGGGATCGATGTCTGTCTGCTAAGAGACACCAGAGAGCTCTCTCTTGCTCTGCCACTCGAGGACACAGCAAAGAAGCAGCCATCTGCAGGCCAGAAAGACATCCCTCTCCAACACATGAATCTGCCAGGCCATGGTCATAGACTTCTCAACCCCCAGAACCGTGAGGAAATACATTTCCGTTGTTTAAATGACCCAGCCGATGGTATTTATTATGGTAGACTGAGCTAATACACATAAAAAGGGCATCCAAAATAACTGAGGAGTCCATTCAACTTCTCCATGAAATTTCAGCTAAATGGCAACTACAGATAATGGTGTCCAGGCACTTAGCTGGCTGTGAAGTCACCTTTTCATGTTTTGCTATTTAATCTATCCCTGAGTAAGGAGAGAGAAAGTAAAAAGGGAGTTGTCCTTAATTAATCACATATTGACATTCATCAGCCACCGATTAGTGTAGCTTACATTTAATACTATTAAAAAGTAATAAATCATACCTGACATCCCTTTTGAAATTTCTCTGGTGTTATCCAGTCTTCAAGCATCCTCAGAATGGACGATCCCTGTGGTGGAAAAAAAATGACAAATTGAACTAGTAAAGGATAGGCTGGAAACAAACACCAGGGATCACTATGGTGACCAGTATTTTAATACCGTATTTGTGAGATTATGCCTTCAAGATGACCCCACTAAATTACTTGGCCATAACTCAGTAGTTTTAGCATAAAAATGTCACTTTGCACACCCCCTGTATCTACGCTTCTAAAATAACTAAAAGATAAAGAGAAATTGATAAAGTGGCCATCATTTCAGTGACTTGGGGTTTAAATAATTATTGCACTTCACCAAATGAACCAGCAGATGGGGCTTTTCTAATGAAGGAGAAACGTTAGAAACACTTAGAAATCTATTTTTCAGTGAATGAAGTAATTCCGTGATAAAATTCTGCTTACTTCTTAAAGTATATCTCAATACTTTAAAAAGATTACATTTAGTGGAAATAGTTGAGGAACTGTCTGGTCAAATAGTTTAGTATAGTTAGATATATCATTTAGGCATAAAATCCTCTTCAAAAGTAGTTTATCTCATTTGGTTTTATTTTATCTGAAAAATCTGATTAATACCTCTGCTCTCTACTTTCTCTGCACATGTTATAAGATTAATACTAAAATTCACTATTTACACATTTTTAAATCAATTTTCAAGTAACTTGCCAGAAAAACGTGTGCCTCCCCATGAAGTTAGCAATTTTTACTGTCATTTAAGTATAAATTATTTTTGTACCTAGTAGAAGGCTAAAGGTTTAGAACATTTATTTATTTTTGACCTAATATCTTAAACCCATGGAATATCTAGGATTCAGAAAGAAACTGATTTAATAAAATATAAACGTCTCCATGTGAGTTACTAGACCATACCATAAGTGGATTGGAAATGTCCATTTTAAGAGAAAGAGGAAAGAATCATTGGCAGGTGTGAAAGAAAAATGAATAAAGGAAGCCTAAAAAGATGCCATGGGAATAATGATAGGGAAAGCCAAAAATATGATGCTATAACTTTGAAATAGTAATATATAGAAGGCTTTTTTCACTCAAGCCATTTTATCTAGTATTCATTTTAATAATTATAATATTTCATTTTAAATAAAACTTTAGGTATTATCCAGAATAACAAAATGTATTCATTTGCAGTGGCTTTTGAGCAGCTTAGCATAGTGGGTAAACCATGAGCAGCAAAAGGGAAATGACTAAATTATACTGCATGCAGGCATGAAGATGTTTGGAGGAGGAGCTATAGGAAACTCTGTGGGAGAAAATGGGTCACTGTAGATCTACAGTCGCTTTGCAAACCATGTTAATGGATAAAAATCACCCATCTACAACATATTAATAAAGTCATCTTTATATGTTATATAAAAATGGATAAAAGTCATTCTTTCAAACTGAGTTGGGTTTAAATTCTTACTGGCTGAACTAAAGGATTCTATTGGAAAAGGTGTCCACATATATGACATCAAAGACCACAGATCAGAAAAAGAAGATTTACTGTCTTTTAAAAAATCAAATCACATCAAAAACTAATGATGTAATGTATGGTGATTTGCATAACATAATAAAATTTTTAAAAATCAAACAAAAATAAAAAATCAAATAATTTTAAATTTGAAGCTTGAAGTGTAAATATTCAGTTAGAATGAAAGAAGTTATAAACAAAAGTGAAAGGAGAAATTTTTAAAAATCTGATTCAAAATCCTGTGACAATGACCAGCATTGATCAATTTGACAGGAAAATACAAACTATTGAATATTCAGCACCCAGAATAATCTCTACACTGTTTCCTAAAGCCCAGAAGATGTTCACAACAATGTCAGATTTTCCCTACCTTGCTATAGGATATCCCATCAAAAACAGATGTTATTTCAGCAGGATTTGTCACGGTGACAACAATTGGGTGTGAAGACATCAAAGAATCATCCTCTTGTACGGGTAATACATCTTCAAGTAACATCTGGTTTCTCTGAAATGACAGAATGAACCAAAAAAGACAGCACTTCCTTTATACTGGTTCATATTTCAAAATATCATTTGTGTATCACTTGGTGGAAAATAAATATAAATGACTCAAATTACTTAAGACAAGGAGTAGGTGTTCAAATTAATCATATTTGGGGCACCTGGGCGGCTCAGTTGGTTAAGCGACTGCCTTCAGCTCAGGTCATGATCCTGGAGTCCCAGGATCGAGTCCCGCATTGGGCTCCCTGCTCAGCAGGGAATCTGCTTCTCCCTCTGACCCTCCCCCGCTCATGCTCTCTCCCTCTATCTCATATAAATAAATAAAATCTTTTAAAAAAACCAAATTAATCATATTTTACACGGATTGATCCATACTGATTCTATTCCCTTCTTCTACTGTAATTCCTTTGACTTCACCCCTATATGACGGGCCAAGAAGACACAAGCATTTGTGAATTGTTTCTGCTACTTATGCATGACTTTCAGACACATGCCAAAGTTTTCAAGCCTTATTTTCATATCTGTGCAATGGGAATGATACCACCTCACAGATTTGTTCTCAGAATTAAGTGAGGATGCATGTTGATGAAAATTGATGTTCAGGATTTATTTTTTAATTTTTTTAATTTTTTGGTCAACTAATCATTAGAATTTGGATGATTCATAATTAATCAAAGAAATATTAGTTTTTGCTTTAGTTCTAATAATCACCTTCTCAATCCAATCCTTGTTTTCTCAGCAAAATAGAGTGGTTGAGAGGTCTAGCCCTATGGTCAGACTTTCATGGTTCATAGCTCAATTTTTCCATTTTCTAGATATGTAAGTTTAAGCTCCCTAACCCTTCAAATAGGGAAATAATGGCATATGCTTTTTGGAATTGTTAGAGAATTTAATGATAATGCATGGTATTACATTTTCCACTTTTGCAATTTCCATTTATAATAGGCAAGACACTATTATCAAGTGATGACTGCCAGTCCAAGGTAATTTTGAATTGGATTTTAAATTTTGTACATCTAAAAGGCTTAAGTAAGTAGAAAGACTTCCGTTCTCAGTGTCAGGAAATTTGACTCTAGTTTTGGTTGTGCTACCAACTGTCTGTGTGATATTGGAAAGTTATATTACCTTTCTGGGCATCAGCTTTTTCACCTGTGAAATGAGGCTCTACTCTTGTGGTACTTACCAGGCTCTCTTACAATCTGTCTATAGTTATCTGTTCCCCTCCACCCACCAGACCCTTAATTGGGAACTCCTTGAGGGCAAGAAATATATTTTATTCTGTTTTGGATTCTCTGTAGTGTTCACTGAACACAGAAGACAGAATGAATGGATAAAAAATGAATGAATGAGTGGATAGACGGATGGATGGATGGACGGATGGATGGGTTGGACCATGTGATTAAATTTCATTTAAGAACTGCATACTAGGAGCGCCAGGGTGGCTCAGTCAGTTGAGCATCTGACTTGATTTCAGCGCAGGTCATGATCTCAGGGTTGTGGAATCGCTCTGTGCTCAGCCGGGAGTCTGCTTGAGATTCTCTCTCTCCTTCTCCCTCTGCCCCTCTCCACCGCTCTCTCTCTCTCAAATAAATAAACCTTAAAAAAAATACTAAATTCTTCTGAAATTTAATTGGTGTTTTAAAATGCTGAATTGGAATATTAAAATGTAAAATATCTTATATATAATACAACAATATGAAAATGTTATAGTTTCTTACGATAGCTTGCAATAAGAAGGACCTCAGTTTATAGAAAATAAAGGACAAAATAATTTTTCATTTATACAGTTTAATTTCAACAAATTACAAAATCAACAATTTTCAACATATATGAGTGATTCTCAACTAGGGCAAATTTTGGCCCCCAGGGGACATCTGGAAATATCTGGACACATTTTTGGTTTTACAACTGAGGAGGGAGGGTTACTTGCATCTAGTATATATGGACCAGGGATGCTTAGAAATATCCTACAATACACAGGACAACCCCCACAATTGTCACCCACTCCCAAATTATTTGGCCCAAAATGTCAATAGTTCCATGGTTGAAAAACCCTGATGTAAATTAAAGTTTTAAGCAGGAATCATTGTAAATTAACTTTCTCACTTTTTAAAGTAGGTTATGGAAATGGCCAAGGGCTTCAGGCATTTTAAGGTCGTCTTTTTATTTTTTCCAGTAGAGGGCAGTAGTCTCTACAGTACACAACCTGTAATTCTCTACTTTTACACATCTTACACACTTATACTTTCATATATACAAACAGATAAGAGCACGTACACCATCTTAATATCGATAAAAACAGATTTAGCTTTTCAGAAAAAAATATCTTTATGGTTCTTAGATGCCTTTGTTCCAGGCCCCTCAAGGACATGAGGTAGGATAATGGTAATTACAGCTATTTTCAGGAGCCTTTAAGCTTACAAGATAGAGAACAATGTTCTTCTTTCATAGAGGAGAGAACTGACTCAGGATATGTCACTTGCTCAAGGTCACATCCCCTATAACACTCAATTTATGCTCTTATCTCTTTTTTTTTTTAAAGATTTTATTTATTTATCTGAGAGAGAGAATGAGAGAGAGAGAGCATGAGAGGGGGAGGGTCAGAGGGAGAAGCAGACTCCCCGCTGAGCAGGGAGCCCGATGCGGGACTCGATCCCGGGACTCACGGATCATGAGCTGAGCCGAAGGCAGTCGCTTAACCAACTGAGCCACCCAGGCATCCCTATCACACTATTTCAGCGGCCTGTGTAAGGTAAGTCCTTTGTAAAATTAGACTTAGATTTTTCAAGGGATTAACACTGCAGGCACTTAAATACAGAGCTGTGTTGTCTAAGCTCACTATTTTGTTTTCTTGCTTTGACATATGTTATTGAGGGACTCTATCGAGGACATCCTCAGATTGGGGTGGTCAGCTGCTCTCCCAGGCCTGGGCATTGGTCCTCAGCAAGGTGTAGCTCAGTGGAACAAACCGACTCCACTCCATGCTCACAAGGAAATTCCTAGTTCACCACTGCACCAGGCGCCTGACTCGGGGACACAGTCATGGTGTAAAGGTTTCAGTTGCTTTGCATGAGGCAAATAGACATTGAGAGCTTATATGTTCTAGGCTCACCATTTGCCACTCTTTTTCTGCTTGGTTTACTCCCAGGAACTCAAAGAAGGAAGCAAATCCTTCATTTAGCCACAAGTCTTCCCACCATTCCATGGTCACAGTATTTCCAAACCACTGAAATTATAAACAAATAGAGAGTTAAATTATTGTGCTTGTGGTAGAGAGGCCTAGAAATTTGCAATACATTTATTTGTCTATATAAATGTTGTCACTTGACACAAAAGTGTCAGGCATTGTACTTAATTAGAATTTATTTCCTGCTTTTTTTTTTTCTATTTCTCCTGATTTTTAAATGATCTTAAATTCTCCTTAGTTTATTGCCTTTATTTAGGTAATACTGGGCCTATGTAAAGTCATAGTGAGATCTCCTGTGTATTTACTAAAGGCAAAACAATGTGTCTTAAAAGACTGTCAGGCCGGATTTTCTGATTAGCTTGTTTTTTATTTGCTAAGTTATTATTAATTTCAATTATTCCTATGGTCTTAAGCCACTTTTAAAAACAAGCTAATTTGATACTAAGATTCCATACCTGATGCACAAGTTCGTGGGCAACCACGCTGGCCACCCTCTGCTGGTTTGATGAGGCTGATTCCTCAGGGTCATAAAGCAAGTTTGTTTCTCTGTAAGTGATGAGTCCCCAGTTCTCCATGGCCCCGGTGCCAAAGTCTGGAATAGCGATTTCATCTATGGAGAAAGAAACAGTCCCATGAGAAATACTTCTTTGCATTTGTTTATAACATTTCTTACTAAATTAAGTTCTTTGGATGACTGTTTTTAAAAAGGCTAAAAATAATTTCTTAGAGTAAAAACAATAATCTATTTGTGCGAAATTTTCAGCCTTCATGCGCTCAGACTTTCCATGGAACTTTTCCTGTTGGCCCCAAATACCAGGGCGTCTTTTAGTTTTCAAAGGATACTAATGGCAATGCTCTTTTCAGTCCTCTATAATTTTATGTCTTTTGTTTCTCTCTGTACTTCATTTTTATTAGCTGTTTTTTTTTTTCAAGATTTTTACAGGTAACAGAAAACATCTGTTTTTGAGGATAAGCTGTGAGGAATAAGGAAGTGAAGTTTTCAAATGAGGACTTAGAAGTACACAGCTTCCAAGTGCACAGGAATATATTTCTATTCAAGGATGCAGAATATTAGAGCATATAAAATTCCACTTTTTCCCTATTTCTATACAACTTGAGATCAACCCAATTCCTTACTGGTTACCATCCATTTGCATGCATTAAATAAGTTGGAATCAACATGCAATAGACTGTATTCTTTCTAAACTCTCTTCCAGACCTAAAATGTTGGATTCTACCAGGAATTTCTATTCTTTATTTTTGCTTGGCCCTATAATCTTTGATATAACATCTGACAGGAAGAGGCAGTGCCTATCAGTTCTGGTTAAATCCCAAACAGAAATGTTGAGCTTGATTAGTGGATAGAATACAGATTCTCCAGCTAAAGAACTATAATAAAAATGTAATTTCTTTATTATTACATATAATTTTTTTTAAAGTAAGCTTTACTCCCAGAGTGGAGCCCAATGCAGGGCTGGAACTCACAACCCTGAGAACAAGACTCAAGCTGAGGTCATGAGTCGGATGCTTAATCTTCTGAACCACCCAGGTGCCCCATATTATTACATATAATTTAAATGACGTACATAAATAAAAATAAATTTAATTTTTATCTAACATATAAGCAAAGGTCCTTTCTGGTTAACATAAAGATTCTTAAAGCTTCTTATAGAAGAATGAAAAGTGGATATATCTTAAATAAAAGTCAAGGTTACAGCAGTAGTTCCCTTTCTGTGTTATCTTCATTCTTAGGTTAGGTTATTTTGTCCCAAGAATACCACTTAAAGGGTGGAGAATTATCCCCCCCGCAAGGGCCATTATTTTCTATAATATGGAGTATAATTTTTACCTAATCCTTGAATGAAAGGACTTTTTTGTGACCTCATTTCTCTAGTGAGTATTGACATTATAATGAATTAACTCACGTGAGAAAAAGAGAAAATAGACTTTTAAATTAGTGTGCTTAACATTTTATTAAATATTATTCTGATGTTGATGAAAAGGTGTTTCTCTTCCTGTCTCTTTCTCTAATAGTGGGGAGCTGATGCCATTGAAGAGAAAATGGAGCATCTACAAAGTTGCCCAGAGCCAAAGCCACTCTTATGTAGAGAATCTGGCATCCCAGTCACTTTGCACTGATAGTTTATTAAAGTAGAGGCATAAACAGAAATAGAGAAATCAATTTTGGGTTGATTGGTTTCCTTGTTGTCTTCATTTTATCCCTCCGAACATCTATATGGGTGTTTCATTTAAAGTCTTTGCTAACACCACTCAAGCTTACTAATAAAGCACTTTTACTATTGGTAGAAGTATCATATCCACACCATTTTGATTATAGCCCTAATTTTATTTTAAAAAGAAAACATTCCCCCCAATTAGAAAAATATATTTATGGAAGGAGTATCAGTGTTTCATTTTAACTGCTGGAGAATCTAGAATTAGTCTTGTACAATGGAAAGACTAGAAGCACATGGGACTCCGATAGCATCATTTATCCCTACTATTTATCAACTCATTGATGGTAGGGTGGCAATGTAAGCTATTGCGATGGTAATGATTTTGAAATGAACAAATCTAGGTTGCTATTTTTGGCTCCATTGTTATCAACACCTGCAGTTTTGCACATTAACTTTAGTCTTTATTTGAAAGTAAAAGTTTATGCATTTACCAGGTAAGAACAGAATAAGTATGGGACATTATTCTTGGAGGACTCCAAAGTGCATCTTTCAGCATCTAGCAAATATTAGATACATATTTTAGGCATATAATAAAAATACTAAGGGATGGCTATTAACTAAGAATGTGAAAACTTGAGGAAATAATTTAACTTAGGTAAAAGCAAAGGCAATATTAAAAATAAGAAAATAAAAAATGAGTCTCACCTAATTTAGGAAGAGCATAATCCATAGCAAAGTATTCTTCAAAATAATCAAACACAATTTTAGTTATGTTTGCAGCATATTCAGCTGTGTGCTTTTGCTGTGGCTGGACATATATAGTGAGCTAGTAAACAAAACACAAAAATTTAGTGAAAATTATTCTTTATTTGATAAAACACAAAAACTATGATATAAAACATAGTGGAAAGAAGGTGAGCTTTGAAGCTAAGTAAAGACTTATTTGAATCCCAGTTTTGGACAAATCACTTCACATCTCTGAGACTCATGTGTAAAGGAAAATAATACTGTATAACTCTCTGAGTGATTTCAATAACTAGAAATAATGTAAGACACAACAGTTGTATCCAATATATTTTTTAAATCTTACTTTTTTCTATTTAGAAATAGATTCTTAAAATGTGTCTACCTATCTTTCTATCAATTTCTTTCTATCAATTTCTATCATCTCTATCTATCTCTGTGTAATTTGTTTTTGAGGACATGAATCATGTCATCTTTCTCATCTAAAGAGCCCTTGGATACATTTTTTTTCCACTTGTACTATTCTACCCATTACTGCCCAAATTACCCTTTTGATATTTTAACTACTTTACTCCCAGAGTCTAAAATACAGTGATTCAAAATTTTCTGAGAGGGAGGCATCAATTCTCTAAGTCTCTAAGATACTTTGTGTCCCTATGACATGATTTATAAATCAAATCCAAGTATAGACTTTTTACCTCCCAGTTTCAGCATGTATGCCCCAGAATAGCCAACATGATATTGAAGGAGAAAAAGAAAGTTGGAGGACTGATACTACCTGACTTAAAGACTTACTATAAAGCTATACTAATCAAGACAGTACAGTATTAGCAATAGACAAGTAAATCAATACAACACAATGGAGGGCCCAGAAATAGACCAAATAAATATAGTCAAATGATCTTTGACAAAGAAGCAAAGGCAATACAATGGAACTAAGATAGTTTTTTTAACAAATGGTGCTAGAACAAATGAACACCCACATGCAGGAAAGTGAATCTAGATACAGACTTTACACCCTTCACAAAAATGAACTCAAAATGGGTCAGACCTAAATGTAAAATGCAAAGCTATAAACCTCCTAGAAGACAACATAGGAGAAAACCTAGATGACCTCTGATATGAAGAAGACTTCTTAGGTACAACACCAAAGGCCTGATCTATGAAAGAAATAATTGATAATTGACTTCATTAAAAACTTCTGCTTTGTGAAGGAAAATGTCAAGAGAATGAGAAGACAAGCCAAAGACTGGGAGAAAATATTTGCAAGAAACACATCTGATAAAGGACTAAAATATACAAAGAACTCCTACAACTCAACAAGAAGAAAACAACCTGATGAAAGCATGGGCCAAAGACCTTAAGAAACACCTCATCAATGAAGATATAGAGATGGCAAATCTGTATACAAAAAGATGCTCCACATCATATGTCATCAAGGAGATGCAAATTAAAACAATAATAAGATATCACTACACATCTACTAGAATTCCGAAATCCAGAACACTGACAACACCAAATGCTAGCGAGAATTGGAGTGACAGGAACTCCCATACGTTGCTGGTGGGAATGCAAAATGGCATAGCCATTTTGGAAGACAATTTGGCAGTTTCTTACAAAACTAAATATACTCTTACTATACGATCCAGTAATTGTGCTCCTTTGTATTTACCTAAAAGAGTTTAAAATATGTCCAACAAATACTTGCACACAGATGTTTATAGCAGCTTTACTCACAATTCCCAATGCTTGGGAGAAACCAAGATGTCCTTCAATAGGTAATGGATAAACTGTGGTACATCCAGACAATGGAATATTATTCAGTGCTAAAAAGAAATGAGCTATAAAGCTATGAAAAGACAGGAAGAAATCTTAAATACATATTACTAACTGAAAGAGCCATTCTGAAAAGACCTCATACTATATCATTCCAATTATATTAATTTTGGAAGAGGCAAAACTATAGAGACAATAAAGAGATCAGTAGTTGCTAGAGGTTGGCAGGTGGAGGAAGAAGGAAATATGAATAAGTGGAGCATAGAGGATGTTTAGGGCAGTGAAAATACTCTGTACGATATAATGATAGATGTATATCATCATACATTTGTCCAAATCCACAGAACGTTCAACACCAAGAGCGAACCCTAAGGTAAACTATGGACTTTGAATAATCAATGTAGGTTCATCTTTGGTTAAAAAAAGATGTACTATTTGGCGAAGTGATAGTGATAATGGGGGAGGCTCTGCATATGTGGGGGCAGGGGGCATATGTAAAATCTTACATAAGATCTTCAACTTAATTGTAAACCTGAAACTGCTCTAAAAAAGAAGTCTTTTTAAAAAAAAAGTTTGTAAGAGGGCACCTGGGTGGCTCAGTCGGTTAAGTGTCTGCCTTCAGCTCAGGTCATGATCTCATGATCGAGTCCCATGTTGGGCTTCCTGCTCAGCGGGGAGTCTGCTTCTCCCTCTCCCTCACCCTCTCCCCCCCACACTCGTGTTCTTGATAGCTCTGTCTCTCTCTCTCTCTCTCTCAAATACATAAATAAAATCCTAAAAAAAAAAAAAATGTGAGGAATTCAAATGAAGCATACTTGCTGAACTTAAAACCTGATTCAAAACCCTCAAGTAAAGCAAAATATGCAGTTATTCAGTAAATCCAAGCCCATCTACCTAACTGAAACAGGTGACTCATCATTTAAAAAAAGGAAAACAGAAAGAGAAATTATGCCTACTTTTTTCCTTTATTATTCCAAAAAGATTGCTAGTTTTGGTGTTCTCTTAGGCACACATATCGAGCCATCTTTTCTTAGATATGAAAAACGGTAGAACGATCCAAGAATTTAAGGCCAAGTACTGAAAGAGCCTCCCTGAAACTACCAGAATGGGCTCGCTGTTCCCACATCCACTGGGTAGTTGACATTCTTGCTTTATTTGCAAAAGTAAAGATGTGTTCATCTTCGTCTCCAAAGGCAACACAACTCACTCAACTACCATCCCAACATTCTTTGAGGTTTGTTTTGGGTTTGGGTTTGGTTTTGGCTTTTTTAGTTACCAGGATAGGTGATACATTTCCTCACTGTTCTCGTTCTCTTTGTGAACAGTGACATGCATTTTCCAAGAAGTTGAGTGAAGCTAAAGATCCAGCTGGTGGCCACTGTACAGAGCAAGGTAACTGCCGTATGAAATCAAAACCATCGTGTTCAGACAGGTCTGCCACATTGTACACTGAGAGTTTCAGAACATTTCCTCTGTGAATTAGAGGCAAAACTCCCCCGGAATTTCTACCACATCTGTTCTCTACCATTAAGAAACGTCAGGGAGGATAGTTCCCCTTGACCTACTCCACTGTTATCCACACACTACTTTTGTGCAGCACATAATGTTTGGAGAATGAGAGGGTTGAGAAAGAGGGAGAAAGAGGAAGTAGTGATAACAGTGAGTCCCTAGACTCACTGTTGGGAGTTAAGAGGAAGAAGAGATAAGAGTGGGAACCCCAGGTGCACAATGGGGAGGAGAAAGACTCTGCTCTTTGTACCGAATCTTCTTTCCCATGCCATTAGATTGGCTCCCTTCACACAGAATGCTTCTGAGACAACATAATCTGGTTTTTCTCACTCTCCAAATTTCTGTTGTTGGATTGATGTTACTGTAAATTCAATCAGAATGAAAGTAGCCCCTTCCTCTTTGTTTCTGAGAAACTCAACACCACGGAAGTATGTTCTGTCTTTACAGTCTGGCCAGGCTGAAGATCACCTGTGATCTGTGACCCTTATTTTGAAGGGACATCGATCATATTTTATGACCATTGCTCTGATCCACTGGGCTGAGCAATCAAGAATATACAGATTCAGCCATTACTCTTGTAACATAATCAGCTGAAGTTTATCTAGAGCATGTCCTATCTGCGGTATGTAACAAACTTACTTTAAAGACTCTACCAACATGCCAACATTGTGTGCTAGCTGAAGCTTCAAAATCCTTTATGTGACATCTATTTAATAGCAGATCATCTGTGATGTTCGGATTTGGTGATTTAAGCATCCTCCCCTCTGCTCGCCCTTTCCTGCTTTCCAGCCTCATCTTCAGCTTATGCTCTATCTGCACCTCCCTCTCCTTTCTGTGGGCTTTAGCAAAGGCTTTAGTAATCGGCGAGGCCACAGTACCTCTGTCCATGACAAAGTTCAGGAAATTACCCCTCAGTTGTCATCACTTTGTAATAATTGTCATCTTTCTAGTTTATAAGCTTGCCTCACTGAGATGACTTTTTTAAGCATATGACTGACAGTATTGAAACAGCATGGAGTGAGGAGGGAGATATGCATGTATATTCTTTCTTCTTCTTGTCTTCTAAAAGAGTCATATATCCTTTAATATCCGAGGACTCTATTAAAGGTCAAATATGAAGTTTATATTTAAGCTTTATAATCTTATATAGAAGTATAAAGTTTGTAAGCCTTCAAGAACCTATATTTAGTTTTTAGAGGTAGTAAGTTCCCTAAGTAAATCAAATTACCTAGATATACCATGTTGGATACTATTAGTCATATCTCAAAGCACTTAATCTATGGAGCTGGTGTCAGATCTAAAGTCTGTGCTTTCCAATGCATATATTCAGCTGATTATTCCTTTGGGAGGTGTGATATATCTATCTACTTTATCGTCACCATTGTTGTTACTTTTCTCTTATCATATGGGAAACTCCTGCAAAGAAGGCTTTCACAGTTCTTCATATTGTCCCTTTCATTCAAGCGTCTCCAGGAATTTGAGAGATGGAATTTATGTCCACGAGAATTAGGAACTTGACTGGTTGCTGGCACTTCCTTCATGTGTCATCATTATGATTAATCATTAGTCCTACTGAGTGCTTAAAATTTCCAGGTAATGTGATATGTGCTTTCCATGCAATGTCTCACTCTACACATCAATTCTACGAATCTGGCACTATTAACAATAATAGGATATAATATTTTGCCTTTGAACTGTAGACTTCCATTTCACGTTTTAGAGGTTGAAGAGTTTTAAAAATAAACTTCCTCATTGTGTACATGAGAAAAATGAAGACTAAGGCAAAACTAACAGTAG